TTGTATTGCTGAGAATATTTTCAGCATGCATAGGCTATCTACCTGTCTGAGCTCCTTGTATAATTAAATCAGGGGTCAGAGAGTTTCAGCATCCTCTTCTGTGTTGGTTGAGTAACAATGCTTCTATTTGGCTACAGAATGACTTCAGTTAATCTTGAGCAGAATGAGCTTGCACCTGGACAAATCAGGTCTGATATACACACATATCTGTATTTTGTCCTTTTTAGGGATAGGCAACATTATACAAAGGTACAGGGGAAAAGCTCAGTCCAGTTTGATGAGCAGGAGATGGATATTGTGATTTTAGTTAAATAAAACCATTCTTAATTTGCCAAGAATTTACTAGCATATCTAACAGCCTGCAGCTTCTCTCTGGGTAACTATGGTTTTATTGCATTCGCAGAACACCTCTGAATGAGCTAAGACAAATCCATTTAAAATTTGACAAACTTTACTTGATTCAGAAGTAAAATGTACTCAGCTAATCCAGTAGAATAGAAATAGCTTTGAGTCCTTTGGTAGACCAGAGAAGATCAGGCTTGAGAGCAACACAGCCAGGATACACCTAAGCTACAAACGCACATTATACTCAATCCTTCCTTGACTCCACCTGGTTACTCTTCCATAGAGAGGCAGAATTCCTACTCAGGTCAGCCTCTTGAGTGCTGTAGCCCAAAATATTTGAAAGCTCATCTGAAAGGAGAACTTAATCCTTGATTTGCCCCTTCTGGATATGGTCCCCTCCCTCAGTGTGGAGAGAGGGGTGTGGAGAGTTTATATGCTATGTTGTTAGGACACTGCCATTATCTCATCTCCAACCCACAGCAGAGGCTGCTTCAAGTTGGCTTTGGTTGTTCCAGTACTTCCTCTTCTCTCAAAACAATTGGCGCTGTGGACGTGATCTAACATGCTTCACTGACAATGTGGTGGATGATACAGTCGGGCTGGGTTTTGCCCTGCTCCTATTGGCCACCATAAGCAGCTGGTGCAGGCACACCCTTGCTGGGCCATTATGGCTTGGCAGAGACATCCGCCCAAGAATGCCTAAGTGCTGTTTTCCAAAGCTCTTGTTAGATCTTATGTTCCTGATGACACCTGGATTTCACAGCACTAGACCTGTTTGTCAAGCACAGGTTTAGCCCACTTTTGAGTGCTCATCTGCTGCACGGAAGGTCAATTTAAACCAGGGGAAAGAGCCACATTCTGTCCACCATGTGTCTGGTTCTGCCACCAAGAAATGCATTATGGGTTTTCCACTGTTTCTGCTGGTACGGGTTTGGGGTGGTCATATTTGGTACTGTTTTTATTACTTTGGTGGAGAAGTGCAACATTTATTTATTTTTATTTATTTATCATATTTATATAGCCGCCCATCTCACACAAGCTTTTGCCGACTCCTACACTATTTTGCATGCTTGACACACTTCTTTTGAGTGCTGCCAGCCATGAACACTCCTGTCCAAACTGCATTCTTTGCAGTACTGGTTCAGGATGGATTCCGCTCCATGCTCCTCTCCAGACCTGTTAGCCTGACTACAACGTAGAGGAGACGTGTTGGTTGAAGCAGGAGACAGTGCCCCCCTCCCGATGCTCCCTCCTTCCCTCTTCCACGCCTGTGATCTGTCATCTGGGTTATTTCTGAACATGGGTCTAACTCTCTTTTTAAAAGAGCACTAACCCTGTGTCCAAGAATTGCCCTGCTGATTGGCAAGGAGGATGGGAGCAGGATGATGCACCAGGGAATTCCGTACCTGCAACTTATGACTTGCTTGCTGCTCCAAGCATCTGTCTACACTTCCCCATCCCCACCACTCATTCAAGAGAACGACTGGCAGGTGATGCTTGGTGGGAGGCGAAACAAAGTCAGAAGAATCCGCCAACTTTCCTTTATTTGTCCTTTATTCCTTACATTAAAACTGTAAGGATAATATCACTTGGTGGCTGTACTAGTGAGGGCTTGGATACCAGGACAGCAAATGTTATGCTGGGAAACTTTTCTGTCAGCTCAGGGACAGAAAAAGTAGAAAAATCAGAAAAAAGGAGTTTCTAGAGAAGGCCCAGTTATCTAGGCTACCCTAAGTACTTGTCGCTATTCCAGGAACCCTCTGTTAATTTCCTTTATGCGTTTTCATGACAGAGCTCACCAGGGAAGACTACACCCAAGGCTGTTTGGAGCTTAAATTAATCCTCTCTCACCTGAGTACTAGGGCTGGGCTGCAAGAATTGTGGGTGACCACTAGATGGCACCACAGAGTTAGGGTTTTCTACAGTGGCCCAGTTCAGGGTTTCATACAAACATGGCCTTCCTTTTTGTCACTGACTCTGGTGACCCACGCAATTACTGGATTTATATTTCTGTAAGAAGTTGACTGAGTATTATGCTTTGGAAAAAGCTCAACGCCCATTATTTTTTAGTAGTCTTTGAAACCACAAGTGTCCTGAAGCAAAACATCAAAAGAAGCTAAAGGCCATTCTCAATCTCTGATCTTAGAGTACTTAGCATAGGAAACAATTTCAGGAAATTAAATTTTTCAAATGTAATTGTACCCAGCATTTGTTTGTCAAGTAACTACTGGCTTTCCTTTAAGGCCTAGACAAAGATTCAAGTACAGAATGCACATCTGCCTACAAGAATCAGAGCAAGGGGTGGGCACTTTCAGAGAGGGCCATTTCTCTTGAACCTGCTTACCTGAGTCATAAAGCAGATTTGCACTGCAGATTCCCAGCTTCTGAAAACAGCCTGGGCTGCCAGCTCTTAGCAGCCAATTCTAAAATGTCCAGCAAATTGAAAGAAAAAAAAGAAAAAGGCACAGTGGTCTTGAGTCAATGGACTCTAACGCAGGACTCCAACATAAAAGGGCCCTAGACTTAGCCAAGATGAAACCATTAGGCAGGTGGTATATTATAACATTGTTTATTTTGTGTTGCAAGTTTGTAACCCTACATCAATCATTCAGAGTCACTTTGTGAGATGGGCAATGAATGAATGAATTTAACCTCAGGAAAACAATTGTGTTTTCTAATGCAGGCTTCCGATTTGTTGGAGGCTGCATACAAATCAAAGTGAAGCCAAAGCAAAATGGGGGTAGAGGCTCCTATTCTCTGTCTTGTTGATGACCATGTTTTTATACCCACAGCCTCCCTTTTTCTTTCTGACACCACCTTTTTCTCTGTCATTTTTCCTCTTCTCTCTGTCTCAGCTTGCATTAACCTGCCAGGAAAGGGATAGATCATTTTTACCAAAGTTTGAAATAATGAATTGCTTGGAAAAGGGCTGTGAATCGTATAAAATTAGGACCATGCGCTGCATGTGATTCAAGGGTCACAAATTGCCAGCCCGTACTTTAAATCTTTCAGGTCCTGAGGGCATTGCAGTGATGTCACTACAGGATTATCAACTACAATGGCCCCAGGTGGTTTTTGAGGCAACCATTTCCCAACTATTTAGAAACCATTTAAAGCAATCATCTTTTAAACTAAATAATAATATTCTTGGTGGTTCTAAGCTGACACATTCACAAAACCAAAGTGACTCACCGGTACACAGTGTAGCACTGTGCCATCCAGACCAGACTGTTTTTTCCAATCTAGCTGTGGGCATGGTGGGAAGCAGAAACAACAATGGTGTCTGTGAACTGGGTTTAAGGAAATCTGACTGGCATTGTCTGCTGTTGCTCACTCATTCCTGGCAGGAGCAGATGTGTTGCCAGCAATTGGGAGAAGGAAGTGAGGGAGACAGATGGCAGCCAGACCAATTGTTCACTTGGGCTAACATGGTTGTTGCAGTGATGGCAATGCCTGTTGATTGTCTAGGTTGTAGCCTTGGATCTCTCCAGACAAATTATCTTTGTGCCTGCAGTTCTCAGATATATAATTTTATTAAGAATTTTGATTATAATAGTAAAAGCTAATACAAACTAAACTTAAAGAAAGAGAATAGAATATAAAGAAAGAATAAAAGGTGCAAGGAAAAAGAAAAAAGAAAAAGGGGGAAAAAAAGTAAGAATATAATAAAGAAAGAGAAAAGAAATATATAAAGTGACTTCCAACTCATCAGAAGTATAAACAAATTTAGTGACTCTTCACCCCCTCTAAGGTTACAGACATTTATCTCTTCATCCCATATCCCATCACTTATCTATAAACAAATCCATAAAACATCATCTTTTCAGTCCTGGTGTCAACAGAAAGTCCATAAATGGTTACCAGAAGTAACAACATATCTTGTTTTAACCTTGATCAAATAAACCAACTTTATATT